TAAAATTTATTAGAAATGATTCTGTATATAGAGATGAATCTCAAACAAAGATCGCTTTTAAAATTATTGATAAATATGAGCCTATTCGCGAATTAAAAAAGGCAGGTAGAAAATACATTAGGGGTGGCCCCAATGTTATACTTACAAAGAAAACAAAACCAAGATTTTGGGTAGGAATAGACAAAAAATTTCTAGTTAGAGAAGTCAGTGTACAATCTGATGTAGAAAAACTTGATAGTAATGCAGTAGTCTATAGATTATATCGAATCCGAAAGCCAGATGTCAATCGATTAATACCTATGAAAAATGGAGCATTTAACTGTGTAGCTCAACGAGTAATAGAGCATTTTGATAACACTAAGCGAGGGTATGGGCTTACAGAAATTCGTTAGCAAAAAATAAATGATTGAGAGAAAAAAATGCGCATTCCAGGTGCTCAAGTACAAGATATAGCAGAGTTAGAAAAAATTATTAAACGACTGATTAAATTACTTGATATAACTTATGGTACTATATTTAATAGTGGAAAGTATCAATCAAGTAAGTATGAAGAAATCAGAATGGTAGTTCATAATGGCTATGCATTTCCAAGAAACCAGCACTTCCCAAGAGATTGAATGGTTGAATATTATAAGGGTGATACATGGGAAGCTATCAGTAATGCCCTCAGGGGACCTCAAGCAATCTGGCTTATAGGAGTGGGGAATACGAGTCAAACAATATTCCAGTTTGTTCTAGAAGATGGTTGCACATTTAGAACATGGAAAAAGCATACAGAAATTATAGAAGCATGCAAACAACTGGTCAATGATACAATAGATTGGCAATATCAGGAAGGAATAATCAATAAGGAAAAGAAATCGATTCTTTCAGAGTCTCTAAAAGTTGTTGATTTAGCAGAGCAGGTATTTGGTGCAAACCATGCTGGAAGCTAACTTGCTAATGAAATCAATAAATGGCATCCAATATTTGGAAAAGTAAATGAAAATATAAGGCAAGCCTGTGTTGAGCATGGGCATGGTGGATGCTAGAATGCACCCGATTATTACGTCAATGATGTCGTATATATCGATATGAAAGAATGTTATCCAGCAAGTATGCGAGATCAAGGAGAATATACCCATGGTTCAATAGGTTTGGACATCCAATACACTACCTTGTTTGAGTTGCAGTAAATGGAGAATTGCCAGAGGATGATATTACTGGATTTGCGCAAGTAAGATCTTTTAAATTTGCATCAAATATACATTCAGCGATTCCTGTCTGGTACGGAAAACATTTTGTGTGTCGAAGTAGAGAAGGATGTAGGAAAGAAAAAGGATGTGCACCTATTGTACTTCTACGATATCTTCTTGAGGTTGGTATTTTAGAAAGTGTGACTATTGAAGAGACAATAATTTCTCTAACTAAACAGACCAAAGTATGGCTACCTAGAAATCGAGATATTAGTTGTGCAATTATAGGTAAGTTTATACAAGGTGGCAAGATTGATGAAAAATGCCTTACTCATTGACTTGTAACAAATGAAGGTGAGCTTGATTTCTTGATCAAAGATTGTACTGATGCTGGAACTTTTGCCGAAAGAGAAAAATGTCCACTCGGATTCATACTTATATATTACGAGGGACATCAACCTCAATATACACATTTGCAGGCCTCAATGTTAGCATATGCGCATATTAATTTGTTAGAGATGCTTCGGAGATTTGATCCTAATGAAGTAGTAAAGATTGCTACAGATTCTATATATGTACGAAAAGAGGCTTTATATAAGATCGAAAATATACTAGCATTCTTCGAGCAAGTTGAGATAAAGTCAGATCCAAATTTATGTTCATACTATCCTTCTTGTACAATGTGTACTGATCCAGAAGAATTCTTTATTTCAAAATCTGAATATGCAAAATGGATTAAAGAGTTTCTAAAAACAAAAAGACCTCTAGTAAAATATGATTACAAAAGACATAAACCATTTGTTTGCGGATGTTGCTTTGGGGAATGGTTTTATAGACCAGACTCCTATGCTTTTTCACATCAACCAGAAGAACAAGAAATCCAAGAAATTCAACCCAGTCAATGGCGTGACAAAGGTGAAAAAATATATGGACCAGTTACCGATATTGTATACTGGCCAAAGAATAGGCATTGAAAATCGATCAAAAATATTCCTGAAAGTACAGCACCCTCGATTCATGATCCTATTACAAGATGTCAGAAATCATATCTTAATAGAGGAGATGGTTCAGGAAAAACAACGCGTGCAATTTGAATTTTTAAAAATATAAACATGGTTGTATTTACTTATACAAATGCATTAGCTAAAGATTTTCGAGAAAAACGTGATGTAAAAGCTCAAACCTGGCATAGTTTCTTCAGATGGAATGGAGTGGGAGAGTGGACACCTGAACGCATGGGAGAGAAAAAATTTCCACGAGTTGTTATTTGGGATGAGGTATGTACAGTTCCTAAGCATATTCTTGAAATGTTCATTAATTATTTATTAGAATATAAATGCCAGGTAATTTGTTGCGGTGACAATGCACAACCTCTGCCATTCTTCGGAGAAATGCCACATAATTGGTTAAAAGAGCATGCTGATTATTATGAAGAAGTTTTAACTGATTATTGTGCAAAATGTCCTAAGTTATATGAACTTAAAAAAGCTATGCGTCGAAAAATAATTGAATACAATCAAAATTATTTCGAGGAATTTTCCCAACTATAGAAAAATAGGAATGTCTCAAAAAAGAATAGACTCTCTCAGATCGTATATTATCAACACATCACCTATCTCAAAGAATTGCATCGCAAAAATGCCTTGAACTCTATCGTATTAAATATCCAGATCTACCGGTTCCATTAATATATAGACTAAGAGATGGACATAAACAAAACTGCCTCGTTCCAATTCTCAGTTCATCTGAGAAACAGGAACTAGTAAAAAATAATATAGTATATTTACCGTTGAATATGCTTCCTGAAAAATTTAGAAAAGATATATTAAGTAAAGAAAAAATACTTGATTGGAATTTGGGATATACTATGACTGTGCATACTAGTCAAGAGATAACACTTAAAGCTCCACAATGAGTTTGGGTTATTGATAAACATTTGGCGTGGGATAATCTAATATATTTTGCAGTAGGTCATGCAGAATATTTGAATCAACTTGTACAGATTGAAGGTCTTCCATTACCTCCTAAGATTGAGGAAGCAAAAAATAAGAAAGCAATTGAGCAATCCTTAAGACCATTTATTTTTGAAAAAAAACTCGTAGGATATATGAATCAAGATAAGAAAAAAGACCATGAATTCAATCTATCTGTTGACTATATTCTTAAGTTAAAAGATTTGCAAAAAGATATATGTGTATCTTGTAATATAGAAATAAAATAGGACTGGGATGATGCAGGAGATCTAGATCAATGGATAGCAGATAGAATCGATAACAAACTGGGTCATATAGAAGGAAATATGCATCTTACTTGTTTGGAATATAATAAGAATCATCGAGTCTAGCCCACTCAATGAACCAAGACAAAGATAATATTTCCTATAATAATTTTTTTCTAATATAATAAATATCTAATTCAAAAGTTTATAGATATGGTTAAACAAGTTAATGATTCGGTAATGGATTTTTATATGAAAGTAAAAGCTAGTACCAGTGATAGTGAAAAACAGGTCAGAGAAATATTTATTAATGGATTATCTCCTGAGAATTATTTGGAAGCTGAAAAATTTGAATCAGGAATTTTATTAAATGAACTGGTAGAAAGACTATGGGTATTAGAGTCAGAACACAAAGCTAAGTATATTAAATTAAAAGCAGAAGTAATAAACATAATTAAAAATGCATTTGAAAATGGTGCTAAAAATCTTAAAAAACTAAAAACTGAACAACCAGAATTTTATGACTTTTATTTTAAGATATAGAATTTTCATTTCCTATTGTAGGGATTGCAAGTCGACTTTACTATTTGCTTTTTTATTCTTCAGCATAAGAAGGTGATTTGTATAATATATCCTGAATTTTATCTTCTAAGGACTTATAATTATTTGTAAGGTTATCAATGTCTTTGCGAAACTCGTTATATAACATAGATGGTATATAATTCTTTATCATCTCAAGATATTCAATAATGTCTTCGATTTCAGAGAAAATATTTTCAAGTCTATTATTTATATCCAAGCCATGAGAAGGAGAAGAAGGATGTGTATAATTATACTCATCTTCTGTAGGCCAATATATTTTTTTGTGACAGGTTTATATTCTTTATGCGTCTTAATTACTTTTTAGCTGAAAATATTCAGATTGTCAGTGAAGATCAAGCGATCCTGACCCATACTAAATAATTTGTGAATGAATGGATCGCCAAACCCGAAATTAGTTTTCATAAATCTGCAAATTAGATTTGTTAGTCGTGAGGAATAAACTATATAAAAAAGCTAAGTATAAGTAATTTCATTGTTAAAAACTTATCTGGTATC